ATTCTTTGGGTTTTGATTTGATATTTTTCTGACTTTTTTTTTTTTTTAATTTTGCATTGCATTTACTTCAGCTCCCCAAGGTTCAGCAGATCAGTCCAGGTCGAAATTCTGTATTTCAGAACTATCAACAACCTGGATACCTAATATTTTAGAACTGGATTTTTTGCCCTAATTCTTTTATAATAAGGCATATGCCTTCAACACAAAGTAAGAAAAATATCGTCTTTTATTATTTCACAGGCACTCATCCTGGTTAACAACAAAATCAGCAAAATAAGCCCAGCAGCTTTTGCTCCCCTGAAGAAACTGGAGAGACTTTACCTCTCCAAGAACAACCTGAAGGAGCTACCAGAAAATATGCCCAAATCCCTACAGGAGCTACGTGCCCATGAAAATGAGATCACCAAACTAAGAAAAGTTGTCTTCAATGGACTAAATCAAATGATTGTTGTAGGTATGCATCATAAGAAATTTTGGCCAAAGCAACATGATGTAATATAGAATTTCTAGGTATAACTCATAATTGACTGTATTTGTAATACCTTCTAGGTAGAAAGCCGAGTGTCCTGATATACTACAACAATTGGCCAAATTAGTAAAGATTCAGTTGAGGAAAACTGTAAAACATGCTCTGTAGTCTAATAGTTATGAATATAAGCTATTGCTAAACTCTTTTTTCTTTTTTTTTTTTTTGGAAGAACTGGGAACCAACCCACTCAAGAGCTCAGGAATTGAAAATGGAGCCTTTCAAGGAATGAAGAAACTGTCCTATATCCGTATTTCAGATAGCAATATTACTAGTATTCCTAGAGGTAAGTAGAGCTATAAGGATTTAGGAAATTCAGGCATAAGAAATATTGCACTTACTCAAATCTAAGATGACTGAATTTAAGACAACGACCCAATAATTAGAGTCTATTTTTGGACATTTAAAAAATATGTGTTATAATTTTCCAGGTACAGAATCTAAGTATCAGAGGGTCACCAAATGCTACAGCAGGGAAAGCAGTGGCTGGAGGGCAGGGTTTGCTGAACCATCTGCCCTCTGCCTCTCCGCTTCTTCCCCCTCTAGCCCCCTTGCATCCCCAGCTCTCTACAGTCTCTGCTTCACTCCTCACTGGCTCACCCTACTCTCCAGTCTCTGCCTCTTCCCTCACCCACCCCTGGATAGACAACCTCTCACCCTGTGGACCTGACAAACCTCCCACAAACCCACTTGCTCTCTGATCTCACCAACCTCCCCATACATTGCTAAACCCTATGATCCTAATGAACCCCCCTGGTAGACCAGCTAGCCCCCCTGATCTCACCAACCCCTGCCCCACCCTGGACCCACCAACCTCCAAATCCTGTCAGCTCCTACTGTGGACCTCCTAACCCCCAAGCCTGCCAAACTCTCCACAGACCCAGTAGCCCCCTGTGGACCTGAAAGCCCCTCCAATCCTGCCAACCTCCCCCTGCAGACCTGCTAGCTCCCCCTTATCCCATATGCTCACCACTCCACCCTGACATAATCAGATTGTTTCCTAGCATTGGCAAACACCTGCAAAATCAGGACCTAATCTAGTCATGTCACTTAAAGTAAACTGCATGATCATTAATCAGATCCTGGGAATGTTTGCAGGTGACCTGAGAGTTGCACATGGTTTTTATCTTCACTTTTCTCCCATAATCTCTAGAAATTGCTCTTACTGTATTTCTCATATATAACGTGCACTGCAGTTTCCAGCAGCTGTTTCATGGGGTTGGGGGGAGAGGTGAAAAAGTATGTAATTCACTGTAAATCACTGTGAATGATCTCTAGCATAACTCAGATAAATAAATGCCAGTGTCTGCAAACTGCAGAAAATGAACATAAATATTTGAGCCACTATGCAGTTTATTTCAGAAAGCTAATACTGTTTTTCATGCCCTCATTTCCCATTTTGGCTGTTACTTTGGAAATACTGATTGGGTCTAGACAGAGTGAAAATACTGGTCCTGAGTTACTTTTCTGAAAAGTAGGAATCCAGTGCTAATGTTTACAGTCAAATACACATACCTATTTTTTTAATTGCTTTTCCACATTTTAATCATTTCTTTTGCCAGTAGTATTCCTAGGTATTTGGCCACAAATTTTCAAGCACCTGAAAAACTAAAAGCATGCATAGTTTTTCATAGGAAGACTCTGTCTTTCTCTCTATACATGTTCCTGCCATTTAACCTGTAGATTGAAATTTATTTCTGTGCAGGCTTCCATTTAAACGGTATTCTGAAATAATGAAGGCTCGCCCTTTAGCACAATGATGTATTCTAGAGAAAACTGGTATTTAAAAATCTTAGAGTTTCACCTTTCTCTCATTGTGAATTTTTATTATTAAAAATTAACCTTTCCAAAGCATAAATTATAGGATTCATGTGTCTCTGATGATGATGTGTTTCTATTCTGACATTAATGAGCCGGATAGCAGCTACACTCTTTTATACCATTATGGCTATGTACACAGATCTCACTATCACTAAAAAATAAGCTCTTTTTTTCTAATTAATAGCTGGTATACTGAAAGGCTTTTTTGGATATTTATTTTGCAGGCCTTCCTCCCTCGCTTACAGAGCTTCATCTTGATGGCAACAAAATCAACAAGGTTGATGCAGAGAGTCTCACTGGACTTGCCAACTTGGCTAAGTAATAATAGTTTCCCACCGTGTACAAGTATTATTGAAGTAAAATAGCTAAAATACACAGTACAAAAATATCATTCTAGACTTAACAAGCATAATCATCTTCTAGTTTGAAATGTACTCATCAATTTGGCAAGAGACATTAGCAAGCATATTACACATGTTGACTTAACTAAACAAAACAGCAGATTTTCATTAGCCACAATGAATATTTAACTTGGTCTATTTATTACTGCTGACCATTTATTGCCAAATCATAGGAAAGTAGGGCTGGAAGGGACCTCATGAGGCCATCCAGTCCAGCTCCTTGCTCAAGACAGGATCATTCCTGACTAAAAACCATCCAGTCCAAGGGTTTGTACAACCTGCTCTTGAAAATTTCCAAGGATGGATAAGTTCCCTGGGTAGTCTTTTCCAATGCATGACCACTATCATGGTCAGAAAGTTCCTGCTAATCTCCAACCTAAATTTCCTCTGTTGCAGCTTGAGGCCATTGCTCCTAGTACTGTTCCCTTTGGCCAAAGAGCAAAGACCATCTCCATTATCTCTATAATCACCTTTTAGGTACAGGCAGACTGTCATCAAATTCTATCTCAATCTTCCCTCCCTCCCTTCCCAACCTTCTCTGTCTTTGCTACCAGCTGCACTCAGCTATCTCTATTTGTGAAGACTGAAGTTAGAAAAGGCATTGAATATTTCAGCTTTCTTTGTATCATCTGGAACTGGACTGCCTTCTGCATTCCATAATAGTTTCTTAGAATGTCTAAAATAGTCAAATAGCCTATGCTTTTCTAATTTTACTTCTCTTCCTTTAATGAGTTTAGTTATATGATTTGAAAATCAATTTTATTTTATGCAGGACTCTGAGCTGTTGAATTCAAGACTCTGATATATTTAAGTCAAATAGTCAAATAGTTATTTTCATAATGTACATGCATGAAGATGACATTTTATGATGATGATGAGAAAAGGGAGAGTTAAAACAAAGATTTTAATAAAGGGTTAAACACAAAGGGATTAAAAAGGATTAAAACAAAATAGGAAAAAGTAGAGATTTTATTTAAATTATTCTGTCATCTTTTGTTGTTTTCAAACTTTTGAAGAATGTGTGTTCTTCATAAATGTGCACAAGGGATTAATGCTACAATTCAGAAGTATTTCTTGGAATCAGGGCCAGAATAGAACTGATGAACAAGACAGGAACATCAGAACTGCCACGCTAGATCACAGTCATTACTCCATCTAATCTACTACATGGTTACTGAAAGTGGCCACCACCAAAAGATTCAGAGAAAGACTTAAGCATCCCACATCGATAGTGTTTTTTGCCTGCTCTTTTTGCACTTTTAATCAATGATCTCCCCCTCACTGGTTGTTCAATAAAAGCTATCTTTCTAACAACCAGATATGTCTGCACTGACCACACTCCTTCATGTCTCCCCAGTCTCGGGGAACCCAAAGCATGGCTTCAAGCACTCTCCCCTTCCCCCTTGACCACTCCAAGTCAGGTAATCACACTTCAGACTTCAGTCCACATTTAGGAGAGAAGAGAACATAGAAAAGAGAAAAGCTCCCAGCCACAGGTCACCCATCATCTATCATTCCCAAAGCATGGGTGAAAGCACTACCCCCACACTCACCCACTTTGAGACTGTGGTGAGTGCTCACTCCTACCCTCTGGTGTCAGAAAATGATCAAGCACTGAAGTGATGTGACTATCTAGATTGGCAGGATACTGTATACGTGGACACTTCTGACCTGCACCAACTGTGAACTAGTTCTGGATCAGTAACATTTGGGAACAGTTTAATTGCTACATATTCCCACACCTATGATTCAATTTGATAAAGACAGCTGGGGGCCTGTGAAGTTATTTTCCTCATTTTCCAGAGAAAGGTAAATCATCCAGTGTTCTGTGTTAAGAACACAATTCAAAATAATTACATAACACATAAGAAAGTATTCTACTCTCAACCCACAAATAACATTACATCCAGTTATAGGGAGACAAGTCATTCAGTACCTGAGTATAGGATGGTATAAACATATAGAATCATTTATGGGTGCAGACAGAAGTGCAGCTCCATGGTCTAACCCATGGCACTTCACAGAAAGAGCCATGAGTTAGACAAATCCTCCCAACCCAACAGACATAGGCTATTGGGTCAGAAGGGTGGGAGATCAAGCTCGGATTTGGAGTTGATCCAGATAAAGAGGCTGTATATCTGCAACCTCTTCCCCTAGCCCTGCCTCCTTTCCCCAGATCCTTGGTGCTGTCTCAGGATGGGAAGGAGAGAAGGTAGGGGAGGGAAGTCTGTTCTGGGATTTCCCTAGCCTGTGCTGGAGTGGGGGAGAGAGGTGGATTGGAGCCCCCCACCCCAGAGGCAGCTCCAATCCACCTGCCCCACCCTCCGGCACCAGCTGGGCAACCCGCAAAATTAGCTCCCTCTGCTCCCTTCCCTCCCCTCCCATTCTGAAAACAGTGCTGGGAGCAGGCATAAGATAATGAAGGTGCTCCACTTTGAAGCATCTTCATCTGAAACCTTATGTAATTAGGGTTCAGACTGTTGCGGGATCAGGCACTTTTAAAGTACTCTGCAGCCATGCACTTGTGTTGGGTTATGGCTGAAGAGTGCTTTCAGGGGTGAGATTACACAAAAATTGTCACTTCTATCTGCACCCTATGAAAGTTCCCTTATCCCTTTAGAAACTAATATGGTCTGTTTATAAGTGATAGATACTAACTAAGATTTTAAGGCCTCATACAGATGTTACAGTGAGAAGTTTGGGGGTTAGATTGGGTTAAAAAATAGTCCCTCGGTCTAGCTCAGTGATTAGATAAGTACCAAGTGCCCGATCTAAGGTAAGCCAGGATAAGGGGATGGGTGGGCAAAATCAGGGGGTCTAGCAGGGTCTGTGGAGGCAGTTGGGGTGATTGGGAAGATAGGTGGGATCAGAAATCCACTCTGATCCTGTCAACCCCCCAGGCTCCTTCAACCCCCATCCTTGATGCTTCAAAAATGCTTCTAATCTCACAAACATCCCCTGGGGCTGGTTTATTGATGCTAGGAGTCCAACTGAAGTAATTTGGAGGCGGGGGGACGTGGGGGGTAGATGGGAGGCTGGCAGCTCTATGGGGGGAGAGGGTGGCAGTATCAGGGTAGTTAATGGCTCTGGGGG